CTGTGTTGCAAGTTTGAATATCAGACCTATGTTCATATCCTAGAAAATAAATTTGAAAACATTCACAACACAGTGATGCTCGGACAACCAGCCCACTGAAACAGAAGCTAAGCAGTGCCTCCCAAGATCCTTCTTTCCACGGGAGATATTGCAGCCCCATTTAAGTTGTTCACCATATTACCTTTAAAGTAAGACTTGATATCTAAAACTAAAAACTTACCTGATGAAGCTGAGAAGACCAGAACATTTTTGGAGAATATTGCTTACCTACTTTTAAAAGAAAGATTTCAATTATTATTTCTTCTGGTCTTATACTTCTCCCTTGATTCTAATTCATATTTCCTAAGAAATTTGTTTCAATGTGTTCCAAGAATTTTTACCACAAGAAAGACTTTAAAAATATCTCCCCAACACACACACACACACACACACACACACACACACACACACACACACACAGAGAGAGAGTTCTGATGACAAACATAAGGTAGAGTCTACCACAGTTCACCCTGGAAAACCAATGAGTTCATTAGGCTTATAGGGTGCTGAGTGAAGAGTTAGGGGCTCCAGCTTTAGGGGACCTTAAAGCAGCTACCTTGGATGGCCCACACCCAGCAAGGATGATGGCTTCTTTGCTGCTGTGTAGAGAAAGACCCCTCCCCTAACTCCCAGAGACTCCAAGGCTAGATGCAATTAGGGCATGCAGGAATTACACACAGCTGGTTGGGAGGGGAGGCTAGATACTCATGTGAGGGTCTCAAGACCCAACTGGCTCCTTCTTCCTATGAGAAGAAAACAGTCAAGTCCAGCTGTGATGAGAACTCTGGATGGCAGTGGTTTGGCTTGGACAATAGGCCTGTACAACACAATGTCATTTCTAAACTTACCAAAATAGCATATTCACCTATAGTTAATCTTCTCCAAAGCTCTCATGTTCAGGTTCTTTCTTCCTGCTCTTCAGTTTGTAGGCTTCTTTGGGAATTCTTTTGACTTACTTTTTCTTATATGGACTACATTATTCTCTTCCCTCACACCTCATTGGGAATTGATTCATCTTGATTTACTGTAGGAGTTACATTTTTTTTCTCTTTAACTTGGGTGTGTGCGTACAAAAACATGTCATTGTGCAAAGGTACAGGTCATATGGAAACTCCTAGGGATGAGTTACCACCTCCCACCCTGTGGGGTCAGGGTATCCCTTGCTGCCTCAGCCACCGTGCCGTACCCCAGGCTACCTGGCCTGTGAGCTTCCATGAGTTTTTCTCCTTCTGTAGAAGGGTCGGGAATCCAGGTGTGTGCTGCAGCATCTGGCTCATGTAGGTTCTTCCATCAAGCTCAGATCAGCAGGCATCCACCTCCCCAGCCTCAAGTTGTGTTTCTTACTACTTAAAATTAAGTTAATTTTTCCCAAACCAGATTTTAAAGTTATCTTTCTAGATCAAGGTGTTTTTTTTTTTAAAAAACATACTTTTATTTTACCTACTGGAGTAGAATAAGGTAGAAAAGGCCAATTATTAAATACTGATCTATTTATTTTTTAGTGATTTACCTAAAGTAGTACTTGTACGGCCCATCTGCCAAGCCCGACTTCACTTGCTCCCTGGAACAGAGTGACCTGGAGGACGAGCTGAAATAATGGGCCACTGCCCTTCACAAACTGCTGACTGCCACCCTGCCTTGTGGTTTTAGGGCAGCAGTTCTCAACCTGTGGGTCACAAACCCTTTGAGGGTTAAACAATTCTTTCAAAGGGGTCAAATATCAGATATCCTGCATATCAGATACTTACATTACGGTTCATAACAGTAGTAACATTACAGTTAGGAAGTAGCAGCAAATATAATTTTATGGTTGGGGGGTCACCACAACCTAAGGAACTGTATTAAAAGGTCGTAGCATTAGGAAGGTTGAGAGCCACTGTGTTAGAGTATGAAATGAGAAGACAAGCTGGATCTGGCATCCGAAGCCTTCTAGGAGCTGTTCTGGCTTCAGTCACCCACTGACATCTACTCACTTCCACGACCCTTGGTGTCAGGGTGCTCATTCCAGAGGGATCCCCCAAATACTACCACTTTTCCTGGTACAAATGCAGGTTGTTTGTTTTATCTTCACCCTTCACAATGTTTCAGACATTAGACATTTGCTAATCACTAACATGATTTGACAGTTTTTAGCTGGCATTTAACCCAACATTCCTGTTGTAATTTCCATCCTTTTTTACACTGTGAATTGATATCTTAGTCAGCTTGAGTAGGCCTTTGGTGTTTGGAGTATGCTGCAGGGAATAGTTCCAGAGAGAGCAGTTTGTTACATTCCAGAACCTAGTGCCTCACTAAAGGACCACATCTATTTTTTGCATTTGTTACATTGTTAAAACTGTAATCTCTAGATGCCACAGGTTTTTGTTGTTTTCTTAAAAGAGACCCGTTATGATCTTAAGCCAATCTTGACTACCTTTAAAAAAACTTCCATTTCGGGCTGGAGAGATGGCTCTTAGATTAAGAGCACTGATTGCTCTTTTGGAGGTCCTGAATTCAATTCCCAGCAACCATCTATAATGGGATCTGATGCCTTCTTCTGGCATGCAGGCAAACATGCAGACAGAACACTGTATACATAATAAATAAATAAATCTTAAGAAACAGAACAAAATACATATATATATGTATAATATAATTATATGATATATATAATAAAAAAATTTTAAATTTCCATTTCTCTGGCCTAGTTTTTCCTCACTTTTATTCTTTGATCACACTTTTTCTTTTCTTTTCTTTTTTTTCTTTTAAGATTTATTATGTATACAATGTTCTGCCTGCATGTGTCCCTGCAGGTCAGAAGAGGGCGCCAGATCTCATTACAGACGGTTGTGAGCCACCATGTGGTTGCTGGCAAATGAACTCAGGACCTCTGGAAGAACAGCCAATGCTCTTAACCACTGAGCCATTTCTCTACACTTTTTCACTTACAATCTTTATAAAGCTTCACCCCTGAAATCATTAAGCATCATCCCTTTTTGATTTCTGACCCCAGATCAAGAATTATTCCCTTACTATGTACTTATAATGTTTTGGGCATAATTTAATATACTATATATTTATCATTTGCCTCCATTCTAAGCATTCCTCATAATTATCTGCTGTTTCATACCAAACTATTCCATGCTTAGTACTAACTAGCACTAAGTATTTTAACATCTTAAATCAGTGGTTCTCAAACTTCCTAACCCTGCAATCTTTTAATACAGTTCATGGTATGGTGACCCAACTATAAAATTATTTTCATTGCTACTTCATGCTATTTTGCTACTGTTATGAATTGTAATGTAAATGCCTGTGTTTACCAATGGTCTTAGGCGATCCCTATGAAAGAGTCATTCATCCCCCAAAGGGATCAAAGCCCACAGGTTGAGGACCACTGCCTTAAATAGGCATGCAAAATTGTAATTTTTATTTTTTTTTTTTTTTTTTTTTTTTTTTGGTTTTTCGAGACAGGGTTTCTCTGTGTAGCTTTGCGCCTTTCCTGGGACTCACTTGGTAGCCCAGGCTGGCCTCGAACTCACAGAGATCCTCCTGCCTCTGCCTCCCGAGTGCTGGGATTAAAGGCGTGTGCCACCACTGCCCGGCGTAATTTTTATTTCTAAAACTAGATAATGTCTCCCCACACTAAACTTGAAACCTATTTTACAACTTTTCTTGAGGGGAATATGCTTAGTGATCTCTTTCCCCAGGGAATATACCCTATATTTAATTTTGTATTCATTTCAGTGTTCCTAGATCCTGAGGACCAAACTTCACCTCAACATTGTTGCTTGAAATTGAGTTTCCCTTCTCGTGATTCGGCAAAGCTGGCACAGTACAGCAATCAGGCTGCCAAATCAAATTCCAGTACTAATCCCTACAGTGAGTAAAGACAGCATGACTCTCAAATTCTCAGTTTTTAGGAAAAATATATCCCTACTTTGCTAACTTGTTTTTATTGTAAACGATAAAGTATTGAGTACGCTGCAGCTCTAAAACTTACTTTTAATTAACAGCAGTCATCATTCACTACCCCACCACCATTTCTTTGTTTTCTCCCATCACCATTTCCTGGGTGAGGTAATGCAATTACCACTTGCTATCAGCTAATAGAAAAGGCAGTGTTTTATAAATCAAAATACTTGCAACACAGGGTTGTTTGGACTTAAAAGTAAAATCTGAGTTTCAAAAATTACATTTTTCAACTTGTCCAAATTAATATTTCACCTTCGATGTTCTAGGTTTAGCTTGGGAAGGCTATTGGCTACTTTTCCTTTTTACAGTAGTGTCCTGGCCAATTTTATGTCAACTTGATACAACCTGAAGTCATCTGAGAGGAGGAGACCTCAGTTGAGACAATGCCTCCATAATATTGGGCTGTAGGCAAGTCTGTGGAGCATTTATTAATGAGGGAGGGCCCAGTCCATTGTGGGCGGTGCCATCCCTGGGCTGGTGGTCCTGGGTTCCATAAGAAAGCAGGCTGAGCAAGCTAGGAGAACAAAGCCAGAAGCAGCGCCCCTCCATGGCCTCTGCATCAACTCCTGCCTCCAGGTTCCCACCTGATTGAGTTCCTGTCTTGGCTTCCTCAATCAACTGTGACTCAGGATATGTAAGCCAAATAAACCCTCTTTTCCTCTCCAACTTGATGCAATAGTAATCCCAGCTAAGACAAATGGGATGGGATTCAATGGATCAAAGTGAACTTTCATTCTGATGAATTATAAACTCTATAAACATACCAACTAGACTGTGTCTGACACAAAGCAATTGTTTTAAAAATGAAACATTTTTAAAATATTCTCTATTTCCTATAAGAATTTTAGTTTTAGTTTAATTTTTAAAATTTCTAATAGTATTAGTTTTAATTTTTTTAGCATTTTCTTTTCACTTAATAACAAGCAGTGACTTTAAGATCTGAAATAACTATTATCTCCCACTTTGAACTGACATAACTGATAAATAAATACAATGAAAGGCAGGCCTCAGAGTTTTCTCCAGATATTTAATGAATTCAAGAATCATGTAGCCATATTCCATGAAATGCAATTTCCTGTAGTGGAGTCTGCAGCCTTGCTGAGGCAAACAAAAGCATTACAAGATCACTAAAAGCCTTATACAGATGTATTTCTGTTCTTACCTGCTAGAACGTAGTTTGTGATGTAATACAGAGATAAATAAGATTGTCTCTTGAGTGTTCTCTAATTTTCAGACCTTAAATAGATGGAAACACAAAAAAACCTCTACTTAAACATATGAATTCTAAATATTTTTACTATAAACTTTTTTTCTCTCAATATAGACAGGAAGGCCAGCCTTTGGTATAAATAATGTATTTCCATGACAACAACTAAAGAATATCACTAGTGTGCACTATCATCGGGGAAATCTTTTGGTAAGGGCACAGCTAATGCCTCTTTACTCTCAGTGAGCGCCCTGGGCTGATGGATGAACACACTGAATTTAACACCCTGGTTGTTGGCAGCTCTGACAAAACCACTATTGGCAGTCATCGTGATGGCTTTCAGGGTATCTCCGGTCCCGAAAATCGTTAATGAACGGCTATTAATCTTCGAACTTGCCACTAGTCTCAAGGCACGCTCAGAAGGCTGGTCAGGTACCACACTGATTCGTTTAATTAGTACAGTGGCCCTCTCTCTCTCTCCTGGTCCCCCTAAGGTATCTAGAATTGACTGAAAATCCTTGACAGCAGATTCACAGGCAAACAACTCCTTGTCCTTCATAAATGCTTCCAGCTGAGGCAAAACCTGCTCTTTCCTCTCTTGCTCGGCTTGTTCTGTGAGTACTTTCTCTTTGAAGATGAAGTGGCAGCCTCCGTAACTCATGGCAGATACGTAAGTGATTAAAGTCGTGATGTCCAGATTCACTCTTTTGCATACATCAACCTTGATCTCTGTTGGAAATGCAACATGCGCCAGTACATTTTCTCGGTCCACTTTTGTCACCTGCAGAAGTTCTTGGCCCTCCTCATCCGACTCACTCTCACTCAGCTGTAACTCTTCAGGGTGATTTAACAGAGAGTTGACTGCTACGATGTCTCCTCTTACAGATATGCCCATATCTTTCAGCTTTTCTGCCATGGGGCTAGAGACGCTGTTGTAGAATGCAAACACAATGTGAGGGTTGCTATACTGCACTGGTTGTTGGTGACTGGCCTGGAGGAAGTCTTCAGCCTGCTCAATGATGCTTTTGTCACCATACTGGCCCCTGCCCAGCCAGATGTTGTGCAGTGCTTCGGCCTTCCGGCCAATAGCTTTGACCCAAGTATGACCTCCATTTGCTACTACGTCCACCACAAGAGTCTGCTTTTCTCCCAAGGTATCTGTGTAACCAAAAACGCGAAGAACGCTAACAACTTCTTCCAGGTTCTCTGCCGATTCCACAATGGCCTTCAAGTGTGTTAGATTTGTGCTTTGCAAATGGGATTCTTTAATAGCTACCTTCCCAGCCTCTATTTTCTGTAAGAATTTTAGCTCTGCCTTGAGTTTGCTACACAGCTTTGCACCGCCTTCTATGCCTCCTTTTCTTGACCTGGAAAGGGATTCCGCTCTCTTGATCAGTTCCTTGGCTATGGCAATTCTTTCAGAGAGCATGGAGTGTGCAGACATGCTGACAGCATTATTCCTTTCATGGAAGACCACAAACAGGGACGATCTCAATGCACTTCTACTGCTAGGTGGTTAAAAAGCCCGATCTAGCAACAGAGTTCAGGAAGACTATGACTATGAACTTGGGCTTCCGTGTGAGGGACTTTGGGAGAGCCTCCCTCCCTCCTTTGACAGCAGAAACAAGCAGTATGTTTGAACTCTTCCTCAAGTGTGCTGGATTCTGACACCTGTTGAGACCGTCATTTCTTCAGGCCAGGAGATCCGCAGCAAGTCCTATGTCAGGATAAAAGGCAGGAGTTTGGCAATGTGCTCTGTATCTCTATCAATAACTAGTCTTACTATTCAGCTACTGAAAAAAAATTTAAAGGTCCCGAACATCAAGATTAAAAGTTTAAAATAGCTTCCCATACACTCTTTCAATTAGGAAACCCCGGCAACCATCCCTGCCAAAAGTGCTTGCCCCCAGGAACCTAGATTCTCCCCAACCCCCCACTCAACTCTCTCCACTCCAGCCAACCCCACTCCCTACTGCCTACATCTGGTCTCTTCTCCGGAAAGACATCAGATTGTGCCTTCAACTGCAACCATCCCCGCTATCCAAGGACCCATCCCAACAACTCCTCCCAAGTGTCCTGTCTGTCGCCAGCACCTTCTCCCATATCCCTCTTTCAGGTAGGGACCCAGCAGCTCCTGCTGCCACTAACTGCATCCATCTATTTCCACGGAAAGCCCTTGCCCCCATCCCTAGCTGGGTAGTCGAGATTCACCCACTAACTCAACTCTGCCCACCCGACTCGCTGATATACACACCTGGTCCCATCTCTAGGTAGACAGCAGACTCATGTCTCCAACTACACCCATCCTCACAACCTGATGACCACCTCGTCCCATCTCTAGGTAGACAGCAGACTCATGTCTCCAACTACACCCATCCCCACAACCTGATGACCGCCTCTCTCTAGGGAGAGGCTTGAGACTGAAACCAGTAACTCCACCAGCACTCACTGCCTGAGGAAAAGTACTGAGTACCTCCCACAGCCTCCTGAAGATTGACAGTGAGAATCCTCTATCTCTACAGAAACTGACGGCATGCACAAGACCTACATAAAATCAAGCCAGAAAAAAAAAAAATCCCAGCATAGGGAAGGGGAAGCGGGCACAAAGTTCCACCTCTTACCAAGGCACTATTTGCGATTCATTACTGCTGGGGGAGGAAATATTAGTTTTCTTCAATGGAGTGACACTGTGTATATCATCTGAACTCTAGGGCAAGCCTCACGCTCAGGAATAGTTGACCAACACAATACAGACTCCATGTTTATTGTGTGCTTTGTTTTTTGTTGTTTTGAGACAACATGAATTTGCGTGGGAGGGGAGGGAAGGCATATCTGGGAGGGGAAAGACTATATAAAATATATGAAAAAAATTTATATTAAACAAAACAAAAAACTTTTCAACACTGAAAAAAGATATTGAATAGATACCAGAAGTTGGGAAGACCACACAAGTGTTGTTGGATTAATATTGTGAAAATGGCTATCCTACCAAAAGCAAACTACTATATTCAACACACTCCCCATCAGATTTCCAAAACAATTCTTTACAGAATTTGAAAAAACAATATCAAATTTCATATGGAACTACAAAAATATAAATTAATAAATAAAACCCAGAATAGCAAAATCAATCCTGAAGAGCAAAAGAATGGCTGGAGGTATCACCTCAAATGTCAAGCTACACTACAGAGTTATAACAACGACAAGAGCAGAGTGCTAGCATCAAAACAAACTCACTGATCAATGGAAAATAAATCGAGGACCCATATATGAAGTCCCACTCCTAAAGCCACGTGACTTTTGACAAAGACGTCAACAATACACACTGGAGACGGTGCTGGTCAAATTGGACAGCTAAAGTAGAAGAATGAAACTTGATCCTCATCTCTCACCTTACACAAAACTCAACTCCAAATGGGTCAAGGACCTCAACCTACTGATATCCTAGCTCTCTCTGATAGAGGAGTATAGAACATACTAGACTCATTGACATAGGGAAGGACTTTCTAAACAGGACCTTTAAGGCACAGACATTAAGCACAATAATTAATAAAGGAAACCTGAAACTAAAACATTTCTATTCCGAAAAAGATGCCATTACCTGAGTAAAGAGGCAGCCTAGAAAATGGGGGGGGGGCGGGGGATGCCATCTATACACCTGACAGAGGGTTAGTGTCTAGAATATATAAAGAACTGAAAACATACCCATGGAGATCAGGACATTACTAAAAGACCATAGTGAGGGGCTTTGAAGGGAGGAGAGATAGAATACACTGGTATTAGGGGTTAAATGGAAAAAATGGAACAGGAATGGTTAAACTAGGGTGAGAGTGGAGTGTAGGGTAGAGGGAAATAATAACACTAATGACTTTTCAAAAAAGACACATGGAAACCTGTTACACTGACATACACACACACACAGAGTTAAAATGTAGTTACCTTACAACAGAGTGTCATGTGTCCCTATGAGACCCAAGGCTAACAAATAAAAAGGCCAGTGTCAGAAATGGGTTACTTCTTTTGGAGCTGCTGGCCAGTGAGTTCCCATAGACCTCCAGACATTTCAGGGTATTGCCAACGTTCTTGGTCATCATACAGAACTGGATGGTAAGACCCTATTGCTGAAAACACCACCATCTGGGTCACAGAACATGGAGAAATCAGGCTGGTAAAGACCTGGAAGTTTCATTCCCACTGGCTAGTTTTCATTCTTCTGCAAGGTATTATGCAGGCTAACAGAAAAGTTATCTTCAATAATATCCAGCTATGAATCCTTGGAGTTACAATTATGACCGGCCTGGCAAAACAGGCCCATCAATACAATAGCAGCACAAACATCAAGGAAATAACCAACCACTTTATGGTTGAATTTAAATCCTACCCCACAGGATAAAACCCATACCTGGCATCATTATTAGGCTAAGAACCTATGCTAGGCAGGTCACAGGCCCCAGAGGAAAACTTACTACTATTATGTTGCTAAATAGACAGTAAAAAACTAACTCCTAGTTGGGCAGTGGTGGAGTACTCCTTCAATTCCAGCACTTAGGAGGCAGAGGCAGGTAAATCTCCAAGTTTGAAGCCAGCCTGGTCTACAAAATGAGTTCCAAGATGGCCAGGGCTACACAGAGAAACCCTGTCTCAAAAAACTAATAATAATAATAACAAACTAACTCCTAATAACTTATCATTACACCCATAAATGAATGCACCGCTCAACCCTCATCTGAGAAGCTTCTGAGAAGTTTCTATTTATAATAGGTGGTAATTAACACCGTGACTCACAACTGGTCAAGGTGCAGGGAATATAAGACTGCATGACTCTCAGCCCTCAAGGGAACATATGTAACATCCTCTCTCCCAAGGTCCAGAGACAGAAGTCGTGGATGATGACAAGAAAACCTCTTCTGGACACAGCAGGGCAGCTGTCTATATGAACTCACATTGGTTGTGCCAGCATGAACAAAACTTGTGCAAGCACAAGCCAGACTAAATACCGAGCATGAAGAGGGGAGTTGGGCCCAGAATCCCTCCACTACCAGGCAACTACTGGCAATTTTTAGCTGCTGGGAGAGGGAAAGAGTTTTCTCTAAGAGGATTGCCCCTAGTATGATCCCCACTCTCCAGTGAAAGATCACACATCCAAGACTGCTGAAGGAGGGGCAGCGGTAGACGGGTAGGGAAGGTGGGGTAGGTCTGGGAATAGCTGGGGGAACTAGGGTGAATATGAACAAAACACATGATATAAAATTCTCAAAAGACTAACTGATTGTTTTTTAATGTAAAAACAATCGTTTAACATAAAGACACAAACTGTCCAAAGCAAGGGTCTCTCCTAAACTGGCAATACCAGAGTCTATCACCTTTTACTCCTTCAGTACGTGATCTGTTTCCCTGGCTTTTTTTTTTTTTTTTTAAGACAGTGTTTCTCTATGTAGCCCTGGCTGTCCTGGAACTTACTTTATAGACCAGACTGGCCTTGAACTCGGAGATCTGCCTGCCTCTGCTTCCCAAACACTGGGATTAGAAGTGTGCACCATCACGCCCGGATAGATGTCTTTTAAGGAGCTGCCTCTTGATTTCCACCGGGTACAGATGCCAAGGAATCAAGACTGCGTGATTTCTGCATGTGATGTCAACTTAGCATGTTTTTAAAAGAACAAAGGGGGCAACCAATTTGCTTCCCGTTCCCATTCTGAAGGAAAAGCTGGAAGAGGGACTCAAAAGAGCTCAGCAGGGTGGCCAGGCTGGCTGTTGAACTACAGGCAGGTGGGAGGGCCAGGGGTGAGGTGCTTCTGGGTGGGTATGGCTCCCCTCCCGGTACGTCTACCTGCACAGCTTAGCCTGGCCCAACAGGTCCGGATCAAACAGGCTCCTGCTGGCCCACTGCTCAGAGGCCAGAATAGGGAAGAGGCAGAACTGACCCTTCCTGCCGGGACACCCGGCCCAGCCCCTCCCTCTCTTCCCACCTCCCTCTCTTCCCCACTCACTCCCTCAGTCCCCGGATCCTCACCAGCAGCGCCACAGACCCCACGCGCGCACATGGCGAGGGCACACAGAGGCTGTATGCAGACACAGCTCACCAGCCAGCCCTCACCTTGCTCTGCTGAGACACTCCGCCTGCTGAGTCCCGCCTCCGGCATTACGTGGTTCCGGCCGGGTGAGCTTGAGCTCGAGTGCAGGCGGCAGCGCAGCGGCCATGTTTGTTGAGGGCACCAGTGTGCCTGAAAGCTGAGGCGCCAGCGAGCAGAGGCGGGTCTGGGGCTGGGTCTCATTCTCACTGAGTCCTAGACGGTAAAATTTATTTGGGTCTCAGGTTTGGCTATTTTTAGCAAAATAAAAACCGGAGAGCCAGCAGAGGCTCCAAACGCCGCTCGGAAGCACTTTCAGTTGCACCATCCTGGCCTTTCATAGAAGCCTTGAAATGTGCTGTCCAGCCGAACAGAGCCGAGAACTGCGTGGCTTCGGAGGGGCTGGGAATATTTAGCCAAGTGGAGTGTCCAACATTACCCGGAAAAGAAACTGAGAAAGAAAAACTAATTTTAAATACTAGGCTTAAGTTGTCATCTTTTTTTTCTGGTATCTGCTCCTTGTCCCAAGCGGTAATTGGAGGATGGAAGTTAACTGCAAATCACACCACCCAAACCATCTGAAGACAGGAGCAATGTCTCATTTCGTGCTTACGGTGGGTGGCCAGCGCTACTCCAAATACATTACGCACTGATTTATCTAGTGATAAACTGACGGTAGATACATAAATTTTGCAGCCGAGTCACAAACAAGTTATTTAAACCCAGGTAGCCCCTGGGTTTACATTGCCTCCGATACAACCTAAAACACCTGCCAGGGCTTATCAAGCACAAACTCCAGAAGGGCTTTGGAACCGAACTTCAGGTGTCTAGACGGGGACAGAATTAGAAACAGATTCCTTAAAAGCCTTTGTTAAAAACATACCAGAGTCCTCTCTTCCATCCGGCACAGGTGGCCCATTCCTCATCTTTCCCCAGAAATAAGTTTATGATGATGAAGGTAGACAAGGGCGCCAGATTCAAGACCAACAAAAGACTGGCCCCATTATTGTGAAGTTTTTCTGACTAAAACTGTGCTGCTACTAGTCTGCTTGCTCCTTGAGTGCTCCCATCTTCCATTACCCATCCTCCTCCACCTTTCCCCTGGAAACAGGAAATAAATAAATACATAAAACTCCAAAGAAATCTGCCAATCACAGTATACAAGAATGTAGGTAGGTACCAGACTCATTTACATGTTTCCATTCTTCCATTTGGAATTTAGAGGACAGAGACAGCGCAACAAAGTGGTTTTAAGAAGTACCTTACACATGGAACCTTCAAATGATTGGTTACTTTGGCCCTCAAATAAGAAGTTTCTTCACTTAAAAGACAGCATAGCCGGGCGTTGGTGGCGCACTCCTTTAATCCCAGCACTCAGGAGGCAGAGCTAGGAGGATCTCTGTGAGTTCGAGGCCAGCCTGGGCTACCAAGTGAGTTCCAGGAAAGAAGCAAAGCTACACAGAGAAACCCTGTCTCGAAAAACCAAAATAAATAAATAAATAAATAAATAAATAAATAAATAAATAAATAATAAAGAGACGGCATAGTATAGGAAACAGCTCTTCAAATTGTAAACAATTGACTAGAACGTATAGTAAGATTGAAAAACAGCAAAAAGCAAGTCAGATATCCAATTAACAGAAAATTTAGGTCCTTAATCAAGAAAATTAAATGGAAAATTTTAAATATACTAAAAAACTTACAAAGAGAATTTAATTTTTGCAGTAAGAACCTGCTTGGGTGTTCAGTGCAATGAACATTAAGAAACAGCAAAAGTGATGGTTTGGCAGCACAGAAACCACAACCAGTGAGCCAGAGGTTAGCACGGCCCACAAGAGAATGACCAAGTCATCCATATTTAAACAAACAAAAAAGCAAAAAACTCACCAAAGGGTAAATAAAACCACTGTGAGATTCCAGAATACTGAAAATTCCAAAGGCCACAGAGAGGAAAGTATTTCCTCACAGACAAGAACTGCTACTAATAAACGGGCCACTGGAAGGTTGCCAGGGAATTAAAATTCTAATCCAAGGAAAGCACTAAGCCCTCCCACTGACGGTCAGTTTACTCTCTGTACAGTGGGCAGAGGTTAGGGCCGGGAAAGCCTGCAAACACTGGCAGGAAAGTCAGTGAGGCTAATACCAAGAGCCAGCAATTTCTGTCTATGAGAATTACTGAAATTAGAAAAACTCATCAAAGTGCTCGGTGCTCCATTATAAAGCAGAGTCCTCCTCATTCTTCCCTTTCCAATTCCCTTCTATCCCCTCAATATATGTAAATTTTAGTAACATCCATGTTACTAATCCCATGTAAGAAATGAGAGACAAAAATCTTTCAGATACAGATTGAACCAAATGTTGGGAGAAGCTATGAACACTGGGAACATTATAATACATAAGATTAAAAGAAACTAAAATCCACAAGCCTAAGTGATTTGAGAGTTTAAGAATGTTTAGAAATATGATGGGTCCCTACACTAAACACTTGAGTTTCTGGAATAACTGACAAAATGGAAACAGCTTAGTTTCAAGGCCAACGAAAGACACACTTTTGTTCAGTTTTGTGGAGAAGGGAGTTGTCCGCAGCTCTGCCTTTAACGGAGACAGAAGAAAACTGGCCCTGCATCTAACCTGCGTGTCACCTCTCACCTCTGTTCCGCAGGATGACCTCTGCTGCGCCTATTTGCACTTTCCCTGCCCTAAATTTATATACCTTTACTTTTCTTTTTCTTTGATTTATAAATGTTGACATTCTTGTGGGTTTCTTCTGTGTAGCTCCGCCTGTCCTGGAACTCTGTAGACCAGGCTGGCCTCGAGCTATCTCTGCCTCCAGAGTGCTGTGGTTAAAGGAGTAAGCCACCATCACCCAGCATCCTGGTTTGTTTAATTTAGACATCAGAGGTCTAACCAAATTGAATAGAAGCTAACAGAAATGCCAGTCTTTTCACCTACAATACCAAATTCAGCCAAAAAAGAAAACAAAACACTCTAATTCAATGGTTCTCAGCCTTCCTAATTATTTCCATTGCTGTTTTGTAATTGTAATTTTGCTGTTATGAATTATAATGTAAATGTTTTCTGAATGTCGTAGGCGACCCCTGAAAAGGTCCTTCAACCCCCCCAAAAGGGTGGCAGCCCCAGTTGAGGACCACTGCTCTCATTTCTTTACAAACTCGGCCAGCAAATAGGTTGACTTTAAAAAACCCTTTTTAATGTTATGCTTATTATTGTGCTAGATTCAAATACACTAAGGCCTATCTAGAGATATGGTGCTCTTAAGACACAACTTTTATTATTTTTAATTTGTGTTTTGTCTGCATGTATCTGTGCACGTGTGCATGCCTGGTGCCCATAAGGGGATTTCAGCTCCTCTGGAATTGGAGCTATGGATGGTTGTGAGCCACCATGTAGGTATTGGGAACTGAACCCAAATTCTTTGCAAAAGCAACAAGGGCTCTTAACTGATGAGCATCTCTCCAGCTCCTTTAGACATATCTTAAAAGAGAAGGCCAGGGCAGGGGATAAGTCTCACCAGCTAAACTGCCTGCAGTGAAGTGTGAGAACTGGAATATGGATACAGGAATGTGTGGCAAGCATGGCAGGCAGCCTTTTAGTCCCAGCATTCAGAAGGCAGAGACGGGATTTCCAGAGTAAACTAGCTATACTAACTAGTCATCAGGCAAGCTCTGGGTCTCAATACATAAGGTGGAGTAACCGAGGAAGGCCCCAACACCAATTTCCACATCACTGGTACCCACACAAACACACATGCCCATATACATCCCACACACGTGCAATAAATACATGAATAATTCCAGAAGGTCAAGGTGCCACCTTCCCATCTCTTAAAATGTTACTGCCTCCCATTAACAGCATATGGATGTATAGTGACAATAGGTAGCAAAACAGCATACATCCTCTCAAAAAATATTCTAAGCTACCTTTTTCTAAACTTTAATGTTGGTCAAAATCTCTTTAATTACATTTAAGTCACTGAACTGCCTACCTCTTCATATTGATGACATTCATAAACAGTCTATTCTGTCTTTTACCCTAAGATGCCTGAGGGAGGAAACAGAATTAGAAGTATACAGCATGCTTCCACAAGAAAAATGGGCTTAAACGCCTAACTGCTTGCTTTATGCTACTCACAGTGAAGGCTCTTCTCACACTGAGGGAGGTGCAGTTCTGACCTTAGTATTTTATTACCAGTATTACACTCACCCTTAGGAAAGGTCCTTCCACAATCTAGGGAATCCTTTTAAATGTCTACCTACATGAGAAAGAGAAACAAACAGGCTCTCGCACACCATGGTTTATTCACTCATATATCTCTGAGAGGAGACCAATGCTGCTGTAGTACAACTGCAGAATACTCCAGGACATCACTGATCCATACCCAAAAGTGCGTATCACAATTCAGCCTGTCTCATGAATTTATCAAAGTATACAGATTCTCTCAGTCCTAAAAGCCATGATGTATATATTAAAACCCAGAGCTGTCTTTTATGGAAACATAGGCATATTTGGTAGTAAAAGAGGCAGTGAAATCTAATAACGAAAATATATGAAAATTAGAGTGATTTTTATCATTTTACTTTGCAATGTAATTTCCAAAATTAACTATGATAAAGTAAGAAAGAAGTATGTTCAAACTTCACTCGTAAAAGCTAGAAATTGGTTTTGACAGTTTATTATGATTATTATTTTAAAAATGTGACTCCATTAAACATGTAGAAATAATTCTGCACAAACAAAAGGTACTTTACACATGTGTAAGTAGATAGATAGACTGTGTGAGATCTGGGTTGGTCAGGCACGTCTTTATCACGCTATGGCGGCCAGGTAATCCTTCACTTCAGCTGGGGTGAGTCTCCTAAAGCCGGCTTCATTGCAGACCCCAACTTCTATGTTGTCTTCCGTCATCTGCCCTTCAAAGCTTTCCTAGTTGAAGAGGGGAGGAAAACGGTCAACTTCACAGCAGTTCTTAGAAAAACCATCATTTTACAACTATCAGTGGATATGGCTAACCTTTAGAGTTAAGATGGCTGTGTGAATGGCATCTTCCAGTTC